TTCTATTCCATTATGCTATACTATATTTGCTTTCCTTTTCTTCCATCTGTTTCCTAAAAGTAATAATTTCCCAAGGAAAAGTCTTAAGTTGTCATTTCTCCCCAGTCCCCACTATTTCTACTTTCCCCTCTATGGCCCTGAACAGCACTGATCCCTCCTTAGGAACCAAGAGGAGCGGCAATTCCCACCATCAGTTATATCTGCATTAGGAAGCAAATGTATCCAATATCAAACTCTTTTTTCCTTCTGCCAAACTACATATTTTTTAGGTCTCTACTGTCCAGACTCAAAGTGCGAGGAGATTTTCTCTTTTATCTCTTTTCTACATTCATATCTAACCAGTGGCTAAGTTTAGTAAATTCTAACTTTGTAACATTTTTAATCAATTCTCTTTTTCTTTCCCATTGATTACCAGTGAGATCAAAAACATTGCCTCTTGGATGGAACTAATGAAATAGATATTTTCATAAAAGTAAATTAAAAGAAACAGAAAATGAAAATTAAATGTTGATAAGAATGAAATGTCATCAAGATGGGTCAGTGGAATGTCTAGCAACTGGTCTGACAATTCGGCGTTTCTTTGCTAAAACCACCACAGTCCATGTTCAACAGCCTACAGTAATTTTTGCCCAAAGAATAAATTTATGTTCTAACAAGCCTGCCAAACTAATCGAAATGCTAATTTAATTAACAGTAGGAAATACCACTGCCAAGAGCACTGAACACTCAAATTACAAATAAAGTGAGCAAGGGGGAAACTGTAGACTGCTGAAATACAGAGTAAACGCTCAATGAATAAAAGGGGCACAGTTACTTGAAGTCATCTAAAAGTTACTTTATGACTCATAGATCAACTAGAACCAGAATGATTATGTTAACATACAGGAAAAGAAAATGTAAGATCGTACAATGCCGATCAGGCTTGGGAACTTTATTAGTCAGGGTACTGGCTAAGTTGCTGTAGAGACTGTAAAATACAAGACAGAATTTTTTTAAAAATTAAGATTCCTCTTATATAAAAGTGCAGAAGTAGGCAATTCATCCTTAATATGTGGTTTCCATCTTGTCCCCATCTCCACTGGCTAGAAGACAAGGAGCACTAAGAAAAGGACGAAGGTGTTTGAGTGGGTTAGTCTGTCTAATTCTCTGGCTGAATTAGGAACTTCATGTTTATTGTGATGGAAGGCAGGTCTGTCACTAAAAGAGCTGACCTTATGATCTCCAATTCTCGATTCCTCAGCCTAACTCATTTGTTTCAGAACTCACATTTATTATTTTCTTTAAATACCAACCATCTACATAGCACTTCATTTAAAAAGATATATTTTAAAATTAGATCATTTTAGGTTCTGTGTTACATTTGTTTCTATGCTTGTTGGATCCTAAAGTCTTAGCTTCTTTTATCACTTTGTATCAACTAATACAGTACATGATAGCCTGTGAATATCAACTATTTTTAGTCAAAATCATCATTTATTATAGAATGGAGTTTTTTGTTTTTTGTTTTGGTAAGGAAGATTAGCCCTGAGCTAACACCTTTAACCAATCGTTCTCTTTTTGCTGAGGAAGATTGGCCCTGGGCTAACATCTGTGCTCATCTTCTTCTATTTTATGTGGGATGCCTGCCATAGCATGGCTTGATAAGCGGTGTGTAGGTCCGCGCCAGGGATCCCAACCTGTGAACCCCGGGCTGCTGAAGTGGAGCACACAAACTTAACCACTATGCCATTGGGCTGGAACCTAGAATGAAGTTTTAATAATATTATTCTCTCTCCATTTTCAATAGAGAAATTTGAGTATTATTGTAGTATTGAGTATTGAGTAAAATTGAGTATTACATAAAATTGAGTATTATTGTATTGTTTTTAATTAGTAGTTTGATAATCCTTGAATAAAGCATTTCTCAGACTGTTCAACATTTTTCCCATTATACTACGTAATTCAGCTCTCAAGTTTGTTCTCTTATTATTAAATCAATATATTTGAGCTCTCTAATTTCTGCTAATGCTCCAGTGCAAAATTTCAAACATGTTCTGTTAATAAGTGAATCTTGACTATATCTTCAATTAATGTATGATACAGAAGATTTGATACAAATTACCTGAGCCAAAGAATATTCTTAACAAAATATATTGGATATGTTAAATTAAGTGATCTCCTGTTTGGATGATTATTTATATTCAAATGATGCTATATATCTGATTAAGGTACTTGTATTTAGAATATATAAAAACTCTTACAACTCAATAAGCAAAGACAAATAGCCCAATTAAAAATTGGCAAGGAGTCTTAAGATGTTTTTCTTCAAAGAAGATATATAAATGGCTAAAAAACACATGAAATAATGCTGAATGTTAATTAGTCATCAGTGAAATGCAAATGAAAACCACAATGAGACACCACTTTGCATCCACTAGGATGGTTATGATCAAAAAGGCAGATAACAACAAGTGTTGCTGAGAATGTGAAGAGATTGGAACCCTGATACATTGCTGGTGGGAATACAAAATGTTATGTTTCTTTGGAAAACATTCCGCCAGTTCCTAAAAAAGGCTAAACAGCGTTACCCTATGATCCAGCAATTCCATTCGTAGATATATATCCAAAAGAAGTGAAAACATATGTCCACACAAAAATCTTCACACAAATGTTAAGAGCAGTGTTATTCACAATGCTGGAAACAACCCAAATATCCATCAGCTGATAAATAGGAAAATAAAATGTGACATATCCATACAATGGGATATTATTCAGCCATAAAAAGGAAAGTACTGATGCATATTATAATACGGATGAAACTTGAAAACATCATGCCAAGTGAAAGACCCAGTCCAAAAAAAAAAAAAAAGGCACATATTGCATGATTTCATTTATATGCAATATACAACATCCAGAATAGGAAATTCTGTAGAGAGAGAGTAGATTAGTGGCTGCCTAGGACTGAAAGGGTTGGGGTGAAATGTAGGTGACTGCTAAAAGATAGAGGGTTTCTTTATGGGGTGATGAAAATATTCATCAGTTTGTGGTGATGGTTGCACAATTCTATGAATATACTAAAAAACATTGAATTGTATATTTTAAATGGGCGAATTGTATGGAATGTAAATTACATCTCAATAAAGCTGCTGCAAAGAAAGTTATTCTGGCGGCCGGCCCAGTGGCGCAAGCGGTTAAGTGCGCACACTCCGCTGCGGCGGCCTGGGGTTCCCCGTTCGGATCCCTGGTGCACACCAACGCACCGCTTGTTAAGCCATGCTGTGGCGGCCTCCCATATAAAGTAGAGGAAGGTGGGCACAGATGTTAGCCCAGGGCCAATCTTCCTCAAGAAAAAAGGGAAGGATTGGCATCGGATGTTAGCTCAGGGCTAGTCCTCCTCACAAAAAAAGAAAGAAAGAAAGAAAGTTATTCTGGTGGACTATAGCATTTATTGTGACACTTAGTTGTGAAATAATTTTGCTGGTTAATCTTATTTATGAGAAATGCTTAATTATGTGGTAACAATGCCTTCAACAACAGCACTTTCTTTTTAATAAGGCAAAATTCATTAGAGTGTATATTGGGAAAGTTTCTTTGTTGAGGGTCACTGAAATTCTTTCCAAACTTATGTCAAGTGCAATTTGTTCACCAGGCAATATTGTCTGTCAATAAATAATATTTACTAGGAGTTGGACAACGTAATTTAACCCATTTATGAGTACTGATGTGTCTTAGGGTTCACGGGCCTCATTTTATCATTTGTACAATGAAGCTGCACTAGATATTCAGCTATAAAGTTGTATTATTCTATGACAAAGACGGACGGCAAAATAATGAACCCATGTGAGGAGTTCTATGAATGTTCAATTAATTAGTGTCAAAAGAGTTTTCAGTGTTTTATTTAATTTCATCAAAATGCTCAGTACTTTCTTCAAAGAGAAACAATTTCACTCATGATTCTGTTACATCCTTTCCATAGCACAGATTAAAGGCTTGTAAACATATAGAATAAACATATTTCTATTCAGAACTTTGAGAAAATTGCTTCTGGGAAACTCTTACTTGTCCCAACAGAGCAGAGACGTAAACAGAGGTAAGAGAGTAAAATCTACTTAAAAATATCGCGAGGCGTTTACTATTTTTCAATTAGTAACTTACTCCATATAGTATTAATCCTAAGAAAGAATTTTCCTTTTTCTTGATTTGACTTGGCAGTTCACTTAGATAACTAACAAATAATTTACAAAATTTAAACAAATCATAACCACAAGCGCCACAATGGAATTTACTTAGAAAAATCAAGATTTTGTCTAAAATACCAAGCAAGGAGTATGAAAAGGTGTGAAATGCAACATTTGTCTCTTTCAATAAGAGAGGTGACTACGTTCACTGATTACATTTTTCTTGATCATCTAAGTCAAAAACAACCTCCATTTTATGAAACTCTATCAAAATAAATAAGAACAAAATGTTCTGATAGTATGACTTTCCTCATCTGTCTTTAAATGCATATTAAAAAAAGTGATTTCTTTTATACTACATTACCTAATTTTATCAACTATTTTGTTATCATTCTATAAGAATTGTAGACTTTTAATTTTGAGGTCAATGTTGTACACATAGCTTTAAGATAAAAACTTACTTCAGGAAATAGAAAAAAATGGCTTTAAGGTCTTATACTAGTGACCTTCATCATCCTGTTTCTTAAAGTTTTATTTGCTAAGTATTAATACAGAAAACAGAAACAATGCCCTAATCTTGGGCCTAACAAACGATGTAGATACTTAGAATTTAGTATGAAACAAATGATCTCAAGATAGAAAAGAAAGCAAATCCCTGTCAATTTTCTGAATGTCTTGGACCCCTTAACATGTCTGTATTTTGTGATACCTCACACAAATACAAGTATAAGGTACATATCTAGCGGTTTACTGTGGCGTACCGTATTTCTAAATCACATAACTGCACTTATATTATTTTTTTATAATTTAAAATGCATTATCTGAAAGAAAAAATATACTTACTGCCCTCTAGAGGTATGAACCAGTAGTGTAATAAGTGTAGATGTTGCTGGGCATATACAGTTTAAAGCTAACATGGCGTATTTAAACTCTTCTTCACAAACAACATGATCTGTTTGAAATAAAATAGGTAAATTAGAATAATTTACCTTGGGATAGTAATATTTTAAAATAATATGAAAAATCCAACAATGAATAAAGTTACAAAAGTTTCAACATAAACACACTTGTGTTACAGATGTTTTTACATGTGCAATCTGATCCCCAGGAAAAATGTTTCATGAGACAGAGTCCTAGGCTATGCGTGATCGAGAGGGAAGAGGGTTCTCGCCGCAGTTCTGTCTTTAACAAAATCGGCAGCTTTTGGCAAAATGTTTAATTTTCCTATGCCTCATCTGTACAAGGAGGTGAGAGGTAGATAGGTTTGAGGTGCAGTCTGGAAAATAAATCAGAGACTGTATAAAGTCTCCTTTAGTTCTGATAATTTTACGGTATGAAATACAATAGTATTGATTTAAAACAGTATTAATTTATCAAATTCATAGTCACACAGCATAAAGACTTAGAAAGTAATTACTAAAAGACGTAGTAGATAATATTGGCATAATATATAAGTAATAGATTTTGTACAATCAAGATAACTATAATATCAATCAATAAAAATTAATGCAAAGATAAATTTATATTTAAATTGTACTTTAACATCAAGACTCAAGGTCATAAATTCAAAGGATGATAGAGTCCCACCAGGAAAGATAATAAATGGCAACTGAAATTCAATGACATAAAAACAATAAAGAGTGCTAGAGCTGATGGCACAGGAGAGGGTGCAGGTCACATTAGAGTGTGATGCTACTCAATCCAGTATATTATTTTCACGCAGAAATGAGAACCCAATGCCAGACATTCAGTTTTCCACAGAAGCCACATTTTAGAGAAGTAATTAAAGTACTGTTTATTTTGGAATAAAACCTTCCCTTCGAAGTAAACAATTATTTCTGGCACTGGAAACAAAGACAATGTTTAAAGTCCTAAAAAAATAAATATTCTTAGGCGGAAAATAGCAGTTTTAGGTAAACTAAAAAAATAGAAAGTTGAATTAGTAAGAGAGCAGATCTATAAAATGAACACATAAACAATACAATTTGTAAAGAAATAAGAAAAAAATACTCCGGAAATGGTTCCTCAATGCTCCACACAGGCAAACATTAACCTTACTCCTGTTTTTATAATACGAGTTAGCATATGAAAGAGCCCATTTGTTTTTCTTTTTATTTCATTTCCTTATTTATTTATTTTTTTCACATTTTATGGAAGAAATTGTATGCTATGGTTATGTCTCAGGATTTACTCTTAAAAAATCAAGGATCTGCTAATAATGTCTTTTTCTCTCTCTGTCTCATTTTTACTTGTCAATATGTTATCTTTAAGAAAAGTTTAAAAATACATAACCACAATACTTAATATTTTGCAGAAAGCCAGGTAGATTCTGAATCCAATTTTGAATGTGGAAAAGTATATGAAGTATTTGCAAAAGGACGGTGACTTTACACCACTATTTCAATATTTCTCAAAATAATTTTTGAGCATGTATGCCCAATCTGTGACAATAAAGCAGTAAAACCACTAAATGCAGAGTTATTACTTTAGAATCATGCGATAGCAATACAGATGGGGTCCATAAATTTCAAACCCAAAATTGGAACATATGACCTAAGAAACATGTGTATATTTATTATGACATGAAACAGAATATTTTAAAATTCAAACTGTACCAGAAAATTTGGAAAGTATGATTACCATATATGCAATACCACATGCAATTATTAACTTTCCCTTGCTATAAAGTAAAAACCAAAATTCTTCTAATAAAGGATCATAAGAAAATACAGTACTTATGGGATAGTTTGAAAATATTCCATCTTATTTTCTTTCAGTGGTTAAAAATGAAAAAAAATTGGGTTCCATTCTTTCCCTTTTGCTCAATGAATGTGTGCATTGGGGTTTGAACGGAGATGGTTGAGACAGGATTGTGTTGCACTGGCGAATTTTTCTAAAACAATACCAATCAATGGAAAGAATGGAAAGATTAATAAATTTTAGGTAGTCATTTTTATTTCTGCATATGCTTTTTTCCTACAGTTAAGTAAAAGTTTTCCAGTGTCTATTAGTCCAGCAAGCAAAATATACATTACTGGAGGCAATTTACACACAAATGCAAAGTATGTTTTGCACTGTTTTAGTATATACTGAATTATCTAGGAACACAGCTACTGTGTAAATTAAGAGGAAATTTACTTTATTCTGTTTAGCATTGTATATGAGTCATTAAAACAAATTGAGGATGTTTGATCACTAGTATCGCCAGTGTCAGTAGCTGGCACATACTTATTGGTGCAAGCATCTCTTTTCCACTGTCTTTTCTGAGGTATTCATACCTGTGCATTTACATATTGAAATATATGCCTTTTCATTATTAATTATTTCCCTTCTGTTTCTCTTGCATATTATAATTAGAATATTATATTAATTATTTAAAATATATTTATATAGACAGTTATATTTACTAGGAATTTCATTCCAGGATAGTAACGGAAGCGTTACAAAGTATTTATTGTAAAAGGAAGATATTGGATCAGATAGGTTGAAAACCACTGTCTTAGATAAATGAATTAATATATAATTAGCATGGGATTCCTTATTAGATAAAAAGAAAAGTCAGTACTCTTTTCATTAAAAAAACATCAATTTAATCAATATGGATGGTTAACACAGGAAAAAGAATATGATAGAATATTCAATTAGATAATGACCTTTATTTGCGTAAATTACAGAAAGCTGAAACCCAGTCTGCAAAACAGAATTGAATCTATCTCTAGACCTCTCCTCTCAGGTCCAAATCCATCCTTCCTCCTGGGACGCTTGTTAAATACTAATCTCTCTCCCCTAACCTGAATTTAAAAACTGAGAATATTCTTTCACGCTACTGTGCTCCTCATTTCCCAATGTCATATGACTGCCAAGGTTTATTGATTATTAAAGTCCTTTCTCGCTCTCTCTTACTCCCCGCTCCCCCATTCCCATGCTAACTACTTACTACAGGCTTCAGATCCTTATCCATAATTCTTAAGGGCCAGTTATCAGCTTTTAGAATTAAAAAAGAAAATTTTTTTTCAGATTTTAGAAATACAAAATGAGTCATCTATCAGACCCTAGGAAATACATCTAGGAAGCAACCTATGTTTAAAAACACTTATTATTTCTGTTTAATTAGTTAAACTAAACACACTTAGTTAAATGTGTGAATATTTATACTAAGTGGAAAAAATAAAGTTCAGTGCAGAGATTGCCACCAAATAATTTCAGGTCAGGCCAGATTTTACAACCAACAGAAATACTAAAATATTTTCTTTTTTTAGAATTTTCGGGTTTTTGGGTTTACAGCTAAGGGATAGGGGACCTTTATTCAAACTCTGATAATCTCTCACCTAGACTAATGCAACAGCTTCCTACTTGCTCTTCACGTCTTCCAGCTCTTCAGCGTTCCACCTACTACCCTCCTAATACAGTTGCCACTGCCACGTGTGGCTATTTACATTTAAATAAATTAAAACTAAATACAAGTTCAGTTCCTCCATCACACTAGCCATATTACCATAACAATAAAGTGCTCAATAACACTTGTGGATATGACTATAGTATTAGACAATGTAAATCTAAAACATTTCCAGCATCACTGATAATTGGACAGGGCTGTTTGATCTGCCAAATGGATTAATGACTTTTCATAAATCCTAAAGCTTATAGGTTATATTTGAAATTCTGTAAAATGTCACTCATGGACTGTCAGAATTTGGGTAATCTTACTGACATAATATACAATTCTTTTTATGTCCCCTCTCAGTCACATAACTGCTAAAACTGCTCCTCTGTAAGAAGAATGTAGAACATATGGGTGTACAAGCAGGTTGGTGGGTAGATACATAGGTGGAAGTTTATGAAAATTTTGTTTTGCTTCCTTTGGTTTTATTTTCTTAGTGAAATAGGTGGAAATGATGATTAGAGAAGAGGGTGGAGGTGAGAGGAGAAAATATGGCATAGTTGTTTAAGAGAATGGGAGAGGAAAAAGAATAGAGAAACAGAGAATGATTGTTTGACAGCTTATGGACCCCTAGAAATCAGTGATCATAAACTTAAAGTGGGAATAGTTTGCAGATTCTCTTTTGTTTATTTTGTTTCCTCTGACCACATTCAAATGCATGGAAGTGAACACCACGAGAGAGAGTTAGATTTCATTGGAGTTGACTTTTGACAAACAAGTCTAATTAACGGAGAGAGGGTCAATGGACTGAGGATGAATTGAGATTATGGAATAGAGTGGTGTGCCATGGAATTCAAACAGGTTAAGAAGGGAAGACAGGACCTGCAGGTACAAATAATAGTGAAAATTTGGTAGCATCAATGAATTGTAGGTCCCAGTGTAGTCAAAAGAGAGTTGGAATTCTGTATTAGAGGATATGAACTGGAAAGATAAGAAGTGGTGGTCAGAGAGGGGGGCACTAGGAATAGGGATTGAGTGGTCACATTTACAGGTAATGACATAATCCAGGGACTGTGCCTCTGTAAATGGGTGCTGAGGTAGGATGGAGGGCAAGAACACTGAAAGAAGGGAAATTACAGCAGCACAAGTCTAGGGCATTGATAGCATTTTCATGGCTATCAATATCATTAACTATTATGACCAAGCAGCGTTGGAGAGAGTGACAGTGAGCCAGGAGATGAAGTATTTTTTCAGGTTTATCAGCTACTTACATTTCCCTTTTGGGACATTTCAAGTCACAAACTGTCAATTTTTATCAAATAATTTTCTAATTAAAAACATAAGACAAAGTTACATAAACCTTAAGTCCTATAGAAATGCATAATGTAGAATTATATCTGTCACAGAAATTGCTATTTTCCCCTATTGTCCATTTTCCCCTCTGTGTGCAGAAACTACATGTCTATGGAGACATGTCTAGAAGAGGTGTTTGGAAAGGAGGAGAATACTAATAATGTGTGTTCACAGCACCTTGCTGATTTTAGTCAAGTCTACACAGAGAGGTGATCTGC